CTCTTTGGGGGCCTCTTCGGCCGTCTTGGAGCGGTTTTGGGAGAATCTTGGACGGCCTATATTTATATATATATATATACATATATAAATATCTACATATCTACATATATATATATACATACATACACATACATAAACATATTTATATATGTTTATATAGACATATGTATACATATATATATATATATATATATATATATATATATTTATTTATTTATACGGAAGAAATTGAAATACGTGGAAGGAAATGGCACGACTCGGGAGGGCTTGGGGGAGGGGTGTGTGTATATATACATATATATGTATACATACATACATACATACATACATACATATAAATAAATATAGAAACATACGTAAGACATGTAGGATTGTGTACACAGGAGAAGGACAATCTATAGAAACATACGTGCGTCGTCCAAGGCACCTCGGAAGGCGCCTCGGAAAGCGCAGAATACTCCTCCAAGGCGCGGAATCATGTTCCCGGACCGCCTTCCGGGAACATGATGGGGACGACCTCCTGAGGGCCTCCAGTGGGCCTCATATATATATAGAGATATAGAAACATACGTAAGACATGAAGGATTGTGTACACAGGAGAAGGACAAGCTATAGAAACATACGTACGTCGTCCAAGGCGCCTCGGAAGGCGCCTCGGAAAGCGCAGAATACTCCCCCAAGGCGCGGAATCATGTTCCCGGACCGCCTTCCGGGAACATGATGGGGACGACCTCCTCAGGGCCTCCAGTGGGCCTCTTGGGGGCCTCTCGGAGGCCTGTTGGGCTCTCCTGGAGGCGTCTTGGGGCGCGTATATATATATATATATATATATATGTGTATATGTATATGTATATATATATAGAAATTGAAATACGTGGAAGGAAGTGGCACGACTCGGGAGGGCTTGGGGGAGGGGTATATGTATATATATATATATACATATACATACATATATACATATATAGATATACATATATATAGAGAAACATACGTGAGACATGTAGGATTGTGTACACAGGAGATGGACAATCTATAGAAACATACGTACGTCGTCCAGGGCGCCTCGGAAGGCGCCTCGGAAAGCGCAGAATACTCCTCCAAGGCGCGGAATCATGTTCCCGGACCGCCTTCCGGGAACATGATGGGGACGACCTCCTCAGGGCCTCCAGTGGGCCTCTTGGGGGCCTCTCGGAGGCCTGTTGGGCTCTCCTGGAGGCGTCTTGGGGCGCGCTCAGGGCCATTTTTGGGCATCTTGGGGGCCTCTGGGGGCCTCCGGGGAGTCTCTTGGGGGCCAATTTGGGGCCTCTTGGGGCCTCGCGGGGCCCTCTTGGGGCCCGCTGGGCTCGCTTAGGCAGTCTTGAAGCCCTGTCGGGGCTCTCCTGGAACCGTCTTGGGCGGCTCCTGGGCCATCTTGGGGCTCTACTGGGCCGTCTTGGGGCGGTCTTGGGGGCCTCTTCGGCCATCTTGGAGCGGTTGTGGGAGACTCTTGGACAGTCTTGGAGCGTCGGAACTCCGAAAAAGCGAGAAGGCCAAAAACCTTTTAAAAAACAATGAAAGTCAACGATTTTGGCTTGTCGGGGCTCTCTTGGGAGGCCTCTTGGGATGCCTTCGGGGCCTCATGGAGCTCTCTTGGAACGTCTTCGGGCCTTCCTGGCCATTCCTGAGGCTATGTATGCGCGTCTTGGAGCGCTCGCGGGCCGTCTTGGGCGGTCTCGAACTGTTCCTGGCGGTACCAAGGGCCCTCCAGGACGCTTCGGACGCTCCCGGGGGCGCCCTGCACCCCCCATGGAGATGACAGGCACCGCCCCGGGGCCCTACTCCGATATATATATATATATATATATATATATACACACACATAAACATACATATATATATATGTATATACACATGTATGCATAAAATGTGTAGAGAGATAATGCGTGCAGGTGTGATGCTACATGGCGGGTTCCACACACGCTGAACCCGCAAAAAATGTCACCTCTTGGGGAACCGAATCTTACTTCCGCCGGCGTCCCGGAATCCGCCAACCTCTTGCCAGCTCCGGCCGGCAGACGCGGCCTCGCTCTACTGCTGCTGCCTTCCGCCGCCCTTCCGCAGAGCAAGAGAAGGCAACCCCTTTCCATCCTCGAAGGCGAGGGCGTTCCTGGAGCGCCCCATACATGAGCAGGAGGGCGGCGCACATGCACGCCAGCGCCAAGTGCCTCAGCGCAAGGCTGCCTCCAACACTCCCCCAACGGAACCCCAGGGTCAGAACTGCCGCCGCGCTCCCGCCACGCATGCGCACGCCGCGGCATCACAGAACCGCTCTCGCGGAGGGCCCTGGGCGGCACCACGCGCAGCACCGCCGCCACCATCCGCCGACACTACTCTTCCATCCGCGGCCCCAGAGGTCCCGACCCCTTCCCCCTGGGGGGGGGGCTTTCGTCCCAGATCCATATTTGATGGCCCCTCGGCCCCCACAACGGGCCCCAAGGGATGGAAAAATCAGATCCTCGGAGGTCTGGGGATGGCCCCCTGGTGGTGGTGGTGGTGGTGGTTTGTGTTTGTGTTGGTGGTGGTGGTGGTGGTTGTGGTGGTGGTGGTGGTGGTGGTGGTGGTCGTGGTGGTGGTGGTGGTCATGGTGGTGGTGGTGGTGGTGGTGGTGGTGGTGGTGGTGGTGGTGGTGGTTGTGGTGATGGTGGTGGTGGTGGTCACTGCACGAGGGACGCATGGAGTCCCAAGCAGCGCGCCGCGCACGCCTAGAGGCCCCCAAGACCGCCCCACGACAGTCCAGGAGGCCTCCAAGAGGGCCCCAAAACGGTACAAGAGGGCCCCAAGACAGCCCAAGAGGTGCCCAAAACGGCCCAAGAGTGCCTCAATACGGCCCCCAAAGGAACCACCAAACAAAATTTCGAACCGACAATTCTAGCCTTCCGCCCAAAGAGGCCCCAAGAGGCCCCAAGAGGCGCCCAGGAGGCCCCCCAGAGGCCCCCAAGAGGCCCCCAAGAGGCCCCAAGAGGCCCTCAAGAGGCCCAAAAGAGGCCTCAAGAAGATGCCCCGAAACAGTCCCCAAGAGGCCTGCAAACTGCCTCCAATAGCCCACCACGAGATCCCAACGAACATCGAATAGGCTTCATATCCACAACCCAGGCACGGTGGCAGGATGGGCCGAAGGCCATTCGATCCGCCGCCCCCTGTCGATTCATCGCAGGGAAGCCTGGCGTGCTAGACCCTTTCGGTTTGGGTTCTGGCTCGTTTTCCAAAAGAACTCCCCCTGGGGCTTCGGCCCGTCCCGCCGGCCACCCGGAAAGATCTTCCAGACCCGGTTCCAAAGGGTTTTTCCTGCTCCAGACGGCTCAAAGACGGCCCAAGATGGCCTCCAAGATCGCCCAAGACGGCCAAGATGGCCTCCAAGACGGCTAAGATGGCCCCACGATGCCTCCAAGACGGCACATGCACCCAACGCGGCCTAAGATAGCCTCAAGATGGCCCAAGACGGCCCAAGAGCCCCCTAAGAGGTTTCCAAGACAGCCCAAAAGGCCTCCAAGAGGTTCTCCAGGAAGGCCCGAAGAGGCCAAAATCATTGATTTCCTAAGGCGTTTGAAGGATTTTGGCAGTTTCGCCTGTTCGGCCTTCCGAGAGACCCCCAAGATCGCCCCAAGATCGCCCAAGAGGTCTCCAAGATGGCCCCATGACGGCCCAAGAGGGCCCCAAGACGGCCCAAGACGCCTCCAAGACGCCCAAGATGGCCTCCAAGACGGCCCACGATGCCTCCAAGACGGCCCAAGATGCCCCCAAGACGACCTGAGATGGCCTCCAGATGGCCTGAGACGGCCCAAGAGGCCCCCAAGAGGCCTCGGGCCCAACAGGCCTCCAAGAGGTCCTCTAGGAGGGCCCGAAGAGGTTTAAATTATTGATGTTCCTTCTGTTTTTGAAGGATTTTGGCATGTGTTTCTTTTCGGCGTTCCGACGGTTCAAGACGTTCCAAGAGGCCCCCGAGATCGCACAACGACGCCTCCAAGATGGCCCCATGACGGCCCCAAGAGGGCCCAAGGGGCCTCCAAGACGGCCCAAATGGCATCTAAGACGGCTGAGATTGCCCCAAGATGCCTCCAAGACGGCACAAGATGTACCCAAGACGGCCTAAGATGGCTTCAAGATGGCCTCAAGATGGCCCAAGACGGCCCAAGAGGCCCCCAAGAGGCCTCCAAGATGGCCAAAAATGCGTCCAGGACGTCTTCCAGGAGGGCATGAAGAGGCCAAAATCATTGATTGTCCTAAGGTTTTTGAAAGATTTTGGCATTTGCTTCTTCTCGGCTTTCCGACGGCTCAAGACGGCGCAAAAGGCCCCCAAGATCGCCCAAGAGGCCTCCAAGATGGCCCCTTGACGCCCCCAAAGGCTCCCAAGACGGCCCCAAGAGGGCCCCAAAACGGCCCAAGAGGCCTCCAAGACGCCCAAGATGGCCTCTAAGAACCCCTGATATGCCCCAAGAGGGCCCCAAGACGACCCAGACAGGTCCCCAAGACGGCTTCCGACGGCGTCAGACAAGCCAGGAACGCCCTAAGACGGTCGAAGAGGCCCCCAAAAAGCCCCCAAGGCCCCCCAAAACCCTCCAAGGCCCCCAGGAAGCTCCCAGGAGGTCCCAAGAGTGCCGCAAGAGGCACCCAAGAGGCCCTTCCTCCTCCTCCTCATCCGCCTCCTCCTCCTCCTCCTCCTCCTCCTCCTCCTCCTCCTCCACTTCCTCCTCCTCCCCTTTTTTCCTCATCCTCCCCCTCCTCCTCTTCGTGCTCCCCCACGCGTTCCCCGAAGTCTTTCCAAACCGACTCGGGGAACAACTGGCCCGATAGCTTGGCCAGGCTCTGGCCCAGCTGCCGGCCACAGAGGCGCTTCCAAAGGGCCAGGGGGCGGCGGTGATTCGCCGCAGGCGTCTGTGATGCCGCACCCGAGATCGGAGGAGTAAAGAGGCGAAGAGGCGGATGGAAGAGGAGGAGGGGCGCCGCGAGCGGTGCGCCAGGGCCTTGGCCAGGTCGTGCTCGATGAACTTCGACAGCTCGGTGGCGAAGTCCACGCTAGAAGGACCGCCGCCTGCCCTGGCCCCCAAGGAGGAAGCCCCACTGCTGCGGGCGCCGGTTCTCGCAGGATCGACCCCCCGGGGCCCCGGGGGGCGCCCCCCTCCATCAGGGGGACCGACGACTCAACCTCCTCGTGCTCGTCCTCGTCCTCCTCCTCCTCCTCCTCCTCCTTCTCCTCCTCGATCCTCCTCCTCCTCCTCCTCCTCCTCCTCCTCCTCCTCCTCCTCCGCAGGGGAGGGGGGGGGGAACATCACATCGAGCTGATAGCGGCGATGTATCGCCGGTGCATCGGCGACAGGCCCTCGACTGCGACACCGAACGACGCTCCTGAGCGGGGGTGGGCCATCGAGCCCCCGTCGACGATGAGTGGGCGCCTGGGGGTCGATGTCCTTCTTCCCTGAGCCCGTGCCCCCCCCCCCTTCGTTCCCCACGACACTTTTTTTGATTCGCGGGTCGAGGGAGCACCTCTTCGGGTCGAAGCTAAGCGGGCCGCGCGAAGCTTGAATTAACCAGAGATGGGGAAGGAAAAGGGGGGCGCAGCCTCAGAACGAGGCCAGGAGAAGGCAAAGCCTCGGAGTTTCGTTCCCCACGACACGCCCCTGATGAGAAGGCGACAGCCCACCCCCATCCCGAGTCCCGACCCCACCCCCGAACCCGCGATCCAGGGTGTCGGGACTGGGGATGGGGTGGTTTTCCGGGGTCCAGGAAGGGAGAGAACCCAACCCCCTCCCCCCGGTCCCGACCCCTCGAATCGCGGGCTCGGGAACGGGCGTCGGGACTGGGGGTGGGGTTGGATTCCCGCCTCCTGACCCGAAGCATACGCCAAAACTCTCCCTGCGAAGAGCCTCCAACCAGGAGCCGAGCACCCTTGCTCCAAGACTTGACGAGTATCGTTTAACCGATCCCCATCCACAGCGGCGCGGCCTGGGCCCCACTGGCCGATTCACCCCCCTAGATGGGGATATAGGTCGTTGCCTTCGGGTTTCGAGGGGTGTATCCCCAACTGGGGTGGTAATCTGGTGGGCGTCTCGAAGGGGATGGGGATGGGGATGGGGATCGGTCAAACGATACCGACTTGATGGCACTTCCTGCCGCGGCCGGTGAGCCTGCGTCGCCCGAGACGGAGCGGCCACAGACGGTCCGAGCACGGCGCCCGAATCTGCGGGCATCGCAAGAGGAGAAGCCCCCCCAGGAAACGCGGGCACACGTCGGAACCACACGACGCCCCTCGTTCCGCGGAGTGGCGACGGCAGTCGCGCGATCTTCCGCTCGCCGCCCTCCTCCGCTCGGTTCTCCGCCCCCCCTTCCCCCGCCCCCCTCCCGCTGCCCTGCTGTAACCGCGACGGGTCTCAAAAACGCCAGTGATGGGAACAGCTTTCCCTGCGCGGGCTTAGTGACGGGCTGGGACACCAACAATACGGGGAAAAGAAATATTCCCCCGCGGCGGCCACCGCAGATGATCGGGGGGGAGAATCCCTGACGATGATGATGATGCTGCTGATGATGACGCTGATGATGATGATGATGATGATGATGATGATGATGATGATGATGAGGATGATGATGATGATGATGCTGATGATGATGATGATGGTCATGGTGATGGTGATGGTGATGATGCCGATGATGATGGTGATGATAATGGTGATGATGATGCTGGTGATGATGATAATGATGATGATGATGATGATGATGATGATGATGATGAGATGATGATGATGGTGATGATGATGATGATGATGATGATGATGATGATGATGATGATGATGATGATGATGATGGTGGTGATGGTGCAGGGAAGGACGAGGAGGGGAAGGACGAATACAAGGGATGTTATTCCCACCGTACTTCAGGAACGCAACCCAGAAGAAGATCTTGAGCACCAGAAACATTTCGAAACAGCGTCTACCCGAGACGCTAGCGAAGTGTCGAACGAACATCGCCTCGCTGGGCCCGACATCTGAGAACCCTCTAGTTTCGGCACTGTCTCGACGCTCGATGTGTTTCCGGTGATCAAGGTAAAGCAGGTTGGAGCATCATAGATCGAATTGCCAGCCAAAAGCTTGGAGGGGGGGCGGCTAGCACTGACGACCCAACTGGGTCAACAGCACCAGCCCTGCGATGCCCTCGCTTCTGCAGCACGGGGTCCCCAGACCTCTGCGCAACTCCCCAGAGGCAAAATGTTTCCGTCCCAGATGGTTCTTCGACGGGTTCGAGGCACCAGAAAAGGAACCCCGATCACCGAGAACGACGAATAGTACAAATTGTTCACATGTGTTCCAAGACCTTGGAGGTCGGGGGCTGCTCCTCTACAGGTCGTCCTCCTTTTTTCGTTCCGCGTGACTCTGCGACGGGTTCGAGGCACCAGAAAAGGACCTCCAGACGCCGACAGCGACGAGAAACATCCTCTCCCGCTCCTCCGGCGTGCCGCCGCTCGGACGTCCATTCCCCGTGCATTTGTCTGATTCGCGCGCTCGATGGTCCGGGGATGCTCCTCGAGCCGAGGAAACAACCGCAAACGCCCGAGCGATGCCAAACCAAGGGGCCCGCTCGGCGGAGCTGTCCCCTCCCCCCTTGCCCGACGCCGCAGCCCTCTGGTGGGGAGGGCAGCCCCCTGCACGAAGACGAGCCAGGGAATCCGGAGCGAGGTAGATCGGGGATCTGTTTTTTTGTCCCAGCCATCCTGTGGTGTTGGGTCCTCGTTTTAAAGAGACAGCGCCCCGCGTCTCCTCGTCTCCTCTGCTCCTCCCTCCTTCTCCTCCTCCCATCTCTCATTTCTGTCTCTGCTTTCCGCGTGCCGTCACCATCATCAACAGCAGCAACAGCAGCATCATCATCATCATCATCATCATCATCATCATCATCATCATCATCATCAGCATGAGCATGAGCATGAGCATCAGCATCAGCATCAGCATCATCATCATCATCATCATCATCATCATCATCATCATCATCATCATCTTCATCATCTTCATCATCTTCATCATCTGCATCAGCATCAGCATCATCATCATCGTCATCATTATCCTCCTCCTCCTTATCATCATCATCATCACCATCATCATCATCATCATCATCATCATCATCATCAGCATCATCAGCATCAGCATCAGCATCAGCATCATCATCACCATCACCATCACCATCATCCCCATCATCATCATCATCATCATCATCATCATCATCATCATCATCATCATCATCATCACCGTCGTCATCATCATCGCCATCATCAGCATCAACGTCATTACCAGCACCATCAACATCATCGTCATCCTCATCGCCATTGCCACTATCCATCTGCTGTCCGCCCCTCGCACGCGTCGGGGCACCATAGGGAACTCCACCTAGGGCCCCAGTGGCAGCGCCCGCACGGCATCACCGCGCACGTTTCGGTGCGCCCCTCACACGCTTCGTGGCCGCATAGAGAGCTCCGCCTAAGACCCCAGTGGCAGCGCCCGCATGGCACCACCGCACCCGTTTCTGCACACCCGTCACACGTTTCGTGGTCGCACAGGGAGTCCCACCTGAGGCCCCAAAAGGCAGCGTCCGCATGGCACCACCGCACCCGTTTCGGCACGCCCCTCAAGCGTTTCGGCCCCATAAGGAGCTCCACCTAGGGCCCCAGTGGCAGCACCCGCATGGCAAAACGGCACCCGTTTCTGCACACCCGTCACACGTTTCGTGGTCGCACAGGGAGTCCCACCTGAGGCCCCAAAAGGCAGCGTCCGCATGGCACCACCGCACCCGTTTCGGTACACCCTCCACACGTTTCGGGCTCCACAGGGAGCTCCACCGAAGGCCCCACTGGCAGCGCCCGCGCGACACCACCGCGCCCGTTTCGGCACAACCCTCACACGTTTCGGGCCCCATAGGGAGCCCCACCTAAGGCCCAAGCGGCAGCGCCCGCATGGCACCACCACGCACGTTTCGGCACACCTCTCACACGCTTCGTGGCCGCATAAGGAGCTCCACCTCAAACCCCAATGGCAGCGCCCGCATGGCGCCACCACACCCCTTTCGGCACACCCTTCACACGTTTCGGGCCCCATGGGGAGCTACTCGTACAGTGGAGGCCAGCCCACTTGGGCGGGTGGGCTGATGGGGCTGAGATTCCGTGGCCCAGTGGGGGGATCGGTCAGACGATGCTGAGGTACAGTCGGCCTGTAGCATGAGGATGCGCGAGAAGGATAGAGGGGCTTTGGACGCCCATGTCGGAGCTTCTCGAACGGGGCGCGGCCGGCGGAAGTGGCCAAGGATGGACCGAGGAGGCAAGGATGCAAGGGTATCCTTGGGAAGGTTGCCCCTCCTTGCTATGCGGGTCGACTGCACGGCGGGACACCTCCAACCTCCAAGCTCATCTTCTGCTCCGGCCCCGGTGGCGCGCTCCCTGGCCAGAACTGCACCGAGAACCCAAGACCTCTGACGGCGTGCCTTCTTCATACGACGTAGACACCTGAGGGTCAGGATCCCCTTCCTCCCCGGGAACGTTCTCTCATCCCGGGCTGCCCGACCTGAGGCCTGGCCAGAAGCAGATTCTTCAGATCGCGGATGGGGGGGGCCTGGGAACGGATGCCCACCGCTGTTCCGAGGCCCATCTGGCAGGGGCCCATCGTTTTCCGAACCGCGCCTAAGCATGCTGCGACGGGGCGACGGGGTGAGGGCCAAAGAAGACAGAGAAGGTGCCCGGTGACCACGGGCTGGACCTCGAGGACTAGGCATCGGCACTGACATCACTTTCCGCATGTCCCTGCGGAATTCTTGAACCGGCGCTGGACCCCCTCCCTCATGGGGAAAGTCCTGTAAGCCTCGCGCGGCAACTTAAGACGAAATTTACGTCGGATCCACGTCGGGTTGACGTTGGGCTCGTGTCGGATTAGTTGAACAGAGACCGACCCTCCCGCCTCCGCGGCCGCGACCCTGTGGGTAGAGGCCTCTTCCTCCTCCTCCACCACCTCCTCCTCCTCCTCCTCCACCTCCTCCTCCACCTCCTCCTCCTCCTCCTCCTCC